TGTGTGACTGTGAGCAGGTGTTACAAAATCAAGTAACTGTTGGCTGTCATAATACCCAAAAGACTGTGACTCACAGGCATCTCAATGCTTTCCGCTGTGATTAGGAATCCATTTCCTTCACGGAGACCCCACAGGAAAACCAAAGTAAACATAAAGCCAAAGTAAAACAAGTATGAGAGGCTGCTCCAATGGACCCCTTTAAGCTTCCAAGCCATTTTTACCTTGTAATCCTGAACTTGGTAAGAAGTGAGAGGATGGGGTAAAAAATGCAGTCAGAGTTCTTTTTATCCACTTTTCAGTTTAAATTTCACCTAAAAAGAGCTTCATAAAGCATCAAGGTTCCAACAGACAAGAATGCAGAGACAAGGCAAAACCCAGAAACCAGACAGCGGCTAGGGGACAGCACCTCCAGCTGACTCCCAGCTCTCCCTCTGACCTAGAAAAAGGCTTGTGCAGAGCCAGGAAGGAAAAGACATGATTAATTCAAGCACAAGTGGATCAAGGCTATCAGGATCTTCCTGACATCGGGCCCTAGAGGCAGAAATTAACCACGGTCACTGAGGGAACAAGACTCTTACTTAATGACTGGTGAGGGAGGCAGAGACAGTGCAAGTCGACCTGGGGGGTACCTTTAGTAAAACCCTTTAAGGGGACAACTGATGGCAGGGACAGAAGTGGGATGAGATGGGCCCACATTTTCTTTTCTTCATTCCAACTGACATTTCCAGAAAACACAGCAGTTGTTGGGGGCAGGGGTGGTGTCTGGGCTGAGCCGTGGCGTACAGAAGGAAAGGAGCTAGTGTAGAATTCCTTCCTTAAACCCAGAGGTACTCGGTCTCTACAGAAGTAAATCTAAGTGTCTTTTACTAACTCACACAGAAAAGGCTCTCAAGAAATTTCAGAGGTGCACTTCAAATGGCACGCCTGAAAATACACAGGCTACATGCTGTGGAGGCTAAATGTGCTTTGGAGAACCTCAGGAAGGAGAGAGAGGATTTTAGTGACTGTATGTTGAAATGACAGAATTTTGGATCTCCTGGGTTAAAATAAAACACTGATTTGATCCTTTATTTTCTGAAATACTCTATTAGAAAATTAAAATCACATATGCGGCTTATGTTATATTGGCCAGTGCCGCTCTAAACCAGGGGCTAGGAAACTATGGTCTGCAGGTCAAACCCTGTCCACTGCCTGCTTTTGCACGGCCTGCGAGCTATGCGTGGTTTTTACATTTTTAAGTGATTGAAAATAAATCAAGAGTAATAACTTGTGACACATGAAAATTATATGAAATTCAAATTCCAGTGTCCATACCAGTGTTTTATTGGCAAAAAGCCGTAATCATTTGTTTCAGATTTTCTAGTTATTTTCGCACTATAGAGGCAGAGTTGAGTAGTTCCAACAACAATGACCTGGTCCATTACGCCAAAAATACAGGGTGTCCCCTCAAAAATATATACACACTTTGAATAATTATTAATTCCAATGGGTTAAATCTGAAAAGAAACAAACATCAATTGAGCAATCAGCTATTAAAGTAAGTATGTATTTTTGAGAGATACCTTGTACTTACTATTTGGCTATATACAGAAAAGCTTCTCAACTCCTGCTGTTAATCCTACCTCCTTACTTTATTTTTCTTCCTAGGTTGTATAACTGTTGCCTCTCCGTGATATGATAACCTCTGCAAAGGTGCACACTTTTTCTCTCGTGTTCGGCGAATTACTGCCAGCACCCAGAACAGTGCCTGGCACACACCAAGTGCACTATAAATCTTTGTTGAGTCAACCAATTTTAAAACTTCATATTTTGGGAGTTGTGGAGGAAGCACCTCATTATTTAAAGAACATGAATTACCACGACTACCACCTACTCTCTATTTCTCTCTCAAGCAGGAAAGCAGAGGTTAATTAAGACCCAAACAAACCCACACATTCCGATGTTGGAAAGGAAACACTGACCCGTGGCCTAGAAACTCGCTGCAACTGGAGACTGGCTCCCCTGTAAAGACAAGAGGAGCACAGGCTCTGAAAAAAGAGGTCCATTTTATTTTAATGAATTCCATGATTTTTATAAATGCTTTTTTGCCTCTTTTATAGGGGAAAGGTAAAGCTGTCCCAGTTATCAAAAAATTCAAATCTCCTTTTCTTCACTGGACTGCCCGTCGATGTGCTTTCGTCCAGCATGTCTCCCGAGTCCTGGGAGCCACACGCTCCGGAGGCACTTCCCGGGTCGAAGGCCTCCACTGCCTCCAGGAGCTCCTTATTGCTCCAGTCCTCCTCAAAGGACTTCTGGAATAGGTCATAGATCGTCTGCTCCTTCGGGTCCTTCATCAGAAAGAAAAGGAAAGATGAAAGAACCCAGGCTCCACCCTGACTCCCTGCTGGTGGCTGGTGAGAGAACACACAGGGAGGGGCTACACATCTCCCTGTCAGGCAGGTGTTGCGTGAGGGTGAGCACAGGCCTGCTCAGTAAATTACCTGTCACTAAAGCAGCAAGGCCCACCTGGCTGTGGAAGGAGGCACTGGCCCTTTCCTCTCCTAGGTAATAAGAGGGGCTGGCCCAGAAGCAGTGCTGGGCGGAGCTGGGAAGCCAGGTACCCTGGGCTGGCTTCACAAAGCCTGCGACTGTGGGCAAGTCTCACTGTTATGCATGCCTCAGTTTACACCTCTATAGAATGGGAGACAATCAGAATAAAATGCAATGACTGAGGAGAAGTAAGTTCTATAAAAACACTACCTGGTTTTGAACATTCCTCATTCTGTGCTGGGGACACGTTCAGGGGGGCAGCCCTGCTATGGGTTGTTGCAATAACTCAACAGCTGCCACAGGGAAGGCCTAATGGAAAGGGCAGCATTTGGAAGCCGTGGTGCTACGAGAATCTCTGAGTGAAGGTCAAAGCAGGAGGAGTCAATGCCATCGCCGCCCATAAAGGATGCACACATAGACTGAACTGAGAATCACCGCAGACCATCACTTTCAGCTCCTGGGCTGGGGGAGGCCCCAGGAGTGATTCACACCTTCCTGCTCAGGACCCGAGGGCTGGCAGGCAGCTTAATGCCTCCTCCTGCCCCCGCGGGAGGAGCCACGTGCTGCTGTTACCTTGTAGACATAATCAGTGGCTTCCATCATTTCTGAAAAATTGGCCTCAGAAACCCCAGCTTCACCCAGAACCTTAATCTTCTCTTGGATCAGGGGCCTGTTGGGGAGAAATGAGCTGCAGTGAGTCCAACCTACACAGAACTGCAGACTGATGAACATGGGCCACCCTCCTTATTCTCCGGGGAGCAGTGACATGCTTACTGTTTCACATCTTCAGCTCTCTCAAGGCACAGATGCCCACCTGAAGTATCTGCCTCCTCTCAACTGTGAACCAACCAATTTTGGGCTCATAACATCAGGTTCAAAATTCTTTCTACTAGAAGATGTGTAGGAAATAAATGCTGCCTCATTGCAACATTTTGAACCTGGTGCTGTTATGAGCTGCCCAATTAACAAACCCACCAAATCAAGAGAAGGAAGTAGGGATGAGTAGCACACACTGCAGAGGTAGGACCCCTTAGTCATAAGGCTGGAAGCAGATGAGTAGTGGAAACGAAGATAATCGGGAAACTTACAGCCAGGAAGGGGGAAATGGGACTGGGAAAGAGCACTTCGTGATTTTTTTCCCTTAGGTTAACGGACATGAACCCACAGCTGTGTTGATGAAGCACCACATGGCCCAGGGTGAGCCACTTTGTCCCAGGGGTCCAGCGGCTGTAAGATGGGGCCTTACTGTCCCAATGCACATCATGAAGGACAAAGGGGGCTGTCACTCTGTTTCAGCAAGTGCCTCCACAACTGGAAACTGAATGTTTTGCAAATTTGACCTATATTTCATCACCATCAGTTCTCCTTCCTTGTCTCGGGCCAGTAGGGAAGAAGCCACACCCCCTTATTACTACATGATTTCCTCATGCACTTGCAGGCCCCCAGGGAACACTGGGAAGGAGCAGACATGGTCATGATGAAAGTGGGAAGAAGCCCTTAGCACAAGCAGAGCCCTTAGGGAGGAAAGGACATACATCCTCAGTGTCCACCCTTGCTCAACCCCAAGAGCCAGGCCAGTGGCTGGCCATACCAAAGGTAGTCATCAGCTGTGCCTCTTGCCACCAGGTAGTGGATGCCCACGGAGTTTAACTGTCCAATTCGGTGCACCCGGTCCTCAGCCTGCATCAGCACCTGCAAAGCGCGGGGGTCAGAGTAGGTCAAGGCCCAAAGCAGCTCAGCCCCACAGCAGGCAGGCCCTGGCCCCCAAGCCCCACAACGTTCTTCCTCAAAGGACTTCACTGCTGTGTCTCAGGGTGGAGGGCCCACGAGCCTCTACCTACAAATGACCCACCACCTGACAAAAGAACCAAATGGAACATGGGTTAGGGAAGTAAACCTGCAGCTGAGTAGCTGTGGGTGGCCTCTCCTGTTGTGCATGGCGCTAGGCACTATGAAGAGGAGTGAGCATCAGCTCTGCCATCAGGCTGTGATGAAGGGCAGACAAAGGGAACTGGCACATGCACTCTTCTCTCCGTGAAATAAGAACAGTTATCTCCTAGCTAGATCAACACACTGCACCAAAGGGAGAAGCCACATGTGATGGAGATAGGGCGGGTTTTATATAGCGGAAGCTCTGCAAGGAACAATGAAAACCAGGATCATCGTTTCCAGTATAAAATGTATTCCACCTCAAAGTCCACCCATCACTAAAGTGGTCACCATGCATGGCCAGTGAGAGCCACACTATGTGAGAACATGCAAAGGGAAACAAACTCCCTGTGGAGCTCAGGAGAACATTTTATGAATCCAAACAAATACCTTCTATCTGCTGTCACAGCCCTCAGCTGAGCAGATAAGGCCAGCGGGTACAATGGCCATGTCCAGGGAACACCCACTGCGGTCACCCTGTTGTGGCCCCAATGGCCAAAGCAGCTCACAGTGATGGTTGACAAAAGGGTCACAGGGTGGAAAGCCAGAGGCCTAGGCTGAGGCCTGGTGCTGCCACGGGCTCCTCTTTGGTGAATGCTACGCACCTATCTGTGCCCCAATTTCCTCATGGAGAGATGACTTCTAAGATTCCTTCTAGCCTTCTGAAACTTCAGTTTTCCCACTGATAAGATGGAGTTGGTACTACTATGTAGGAGGTTGTTGTGAAGATCTAAGAGCTAGCCAATAAATGTGGAAAATAAATGTTTCTGAGGGCTAATGGAAACAGATGGAAGAAGATGCGACTGGCCCCAGAGACAGCTCTCCGAAACCTGTCTTCCCCACTGACACTAGCTCCTTCCCCTCTGCAGCCATGAGCATGCCCAGGGACTTCAAGTCTTCTGTGCCCCTTACCCCGGGGTTCCAAAACAGCTCAGCAAACACCACCAGGTCGGCCGAGGAAAAGGTGAGGCCCATGTTAGCGGCGGTAATGGACAGCACAGCCACGGCGTGCCTCTCCGACAGCTGGAACTGCTGGCACAGACTCTCTCGGTCTGCCGAGGAGGTGGAACCATCGATGCGGATGTGCTGCACCTGCTGTGGGAACAGGGCAGGGAAGGATTCAGGGTACAGATTGTACGTGGGGAGGAAGAAAGGGGAATGAATTAGAGGGCTACTGAGGGGGCACACATATGTTATTACTTAAAATATAAACTGAAATAAATACAGCAAAACTTCTCATTTATTAAATCTGGATGGGGGAAACAGGAGTTTGTCATATATCTCTCTAAATAGTAAATAAATGTAAAAGATGAAGGAAAACAAAAGGTAATTTATGATCCTAAATTTAACCAAAAATGAAAAAAGGGTAAAAATATGATGTGTTAAGTTTTCATGAACATCCTAGGAAATCTTCTAGGTATTTTTCACTCGATTTACTGAGGGGCACAAAACTCTGCGTTTGAGTCTGCGCATGGCCATGTACAATGAACCAAGCCATTTCGACAGTGATGAGGAACAAAAGGAAGAAAGAGGAGATATTCATACAAATACTTGTCTCCACAGGAGAACAATTTCTGCTACCTCATCTCTTGTCAGTTTCCTAATTATTTACACAGAATGATGAAGACCCACAGGGAGATGTTCAAAAAGCAAGATTCTTGGGATATCTGTACAGAGAACGGAGGGAGTTAAATGATAGCGCTGGGGAAATACTCTGACTCGCCTCGTGGTTCTACAAACAAGAATAATTCTTCAGCACTGTTTCTGGAAACCATCATCTCACTTCTTTGCTGATCTGACCTCAGCCTGCTCAGAACAACTTAGCAGCCGCCACAAACAATGAAAGCATCGAGTGGGGAATTTCAAAGGGAGCTTACCTTTCTCTCAAGCTCTTTAGTTATTGCATCCAGAACCAACTTATGGTGCGCAAACACTAGAAACTTCTCTCTCCCACTTTCCAGCAGGTCCAGGATATATTCACTGCATTTGACAATGACACCACAAATTACACATATGCTCATCCAGTTGAGGTTAATTACTGAAAAGTGACTGTACCTGTAGCAGACACCTTTGGGGAATCTGCCCTGCCCATTCTCTCCCTTCCCTGAGAGCTCACCTCTCTCCCTTTCCCTCATGCCAGGTCACTTGAACAGATGCAAAATTAGGAGCTGTGGGAAGCAAGTCATCTTCTGCCATGTGCAGAGAGAGTTCTTCCATACTCCTGCCCTCTCCCATATACAAACAAACTGAAGTGTCTTTATGTTTTATGTATCTCTGATATGTTACTGAAACATTCTTATTACCTGGGATCACGAAGATAATTAACAGTTTGTACTCTGGCTGCTACCATCATTATAATGTATTTTCAATACAAATTAAAGTGTCGTCTATAGATTGAAAATGCCAAGGCAGGGGATTAAGGGATTCTTGACAGCAATCAAATTTCTGGAAGTGTAATATTGAGACCTAAGTAATAATCCTGGCGAGAAGGTCAGGGAGAGCTCTCTAGCTCCCTCCCATTAGGCTGCCAAGTACAGGGCCAGCAGATGAGTCAGTGGTAAGTGAGTTCAATCCTGAGGCAAAGGAATAGAGGGGCTTCACTCTTCCTTTAATTTACTTCTCTTCTATGCACTGCGATTTTTCTTTTTTTTTCTTTTAATAGTTTTTTGTTTTTAAATGTTTTAAAATTTGTTTTAGAGAGGGGGAGGAGAGAGAGAGAGAAGAGAGAGGGGGAGAAAAAAACATCAATGTGGGAGAGAACTGATCGGCTGCCTCCTGCATGCTGCTCAACCAGGGATTGAACCCACAACCTTTTGGTGTACTAGATGATGCTCCAACCACTTGAACCACATCGGCCAGGGCACACTGTTTTTTTCTTGACTTCCTGCCCTTATCTTCAGCGGTGGCCTTAAAGGAAGGACTGTAGGGGAGAGTCACCCCACCAGCACACCCTGGAGGCTGACCCAGGACTAGCACCCTGCAGGGGGTTCACAGTCCCAGCACAGGTCGCTGCTCCGGCAGGGCAGTGGGAAGGTGAGCTTCAGGGACAGAAGGTGCACTTGCTCTGCCTGAGACCATCCACACAAGTAGGTGTGTTTGGGCAGAGAACAGACATTGCCCTCCTTAGAGCAGAACAAATCTCAAAGGTTTCCTGTTACAAGCAGGTGGTAGAAAGGTAAGTAGACTGTCCTCTAAACATCTAAGGATTATTTTCAAATAACACTATGGCCAGCCAGGGTATGTATTTGAGTTCAATTTGTGAATCGTTGGTACTAAACAGAATCTACTTTAATTAGTTTGAGAGACATAAAATTTGCCATGATATAAGCAAAAATGTTTATTGCTACAGTATTAAGAAGTCACAAGACCATAAGATCAACTTGCCTGTTCATAATTACCACAGGCCCAAATATTCCTAATGCCTCTCGCCCCTCTATGTCTCAGACACAGCTTCACTGCTCTGCCCTTCCACACATCCCTAAGTCACCAGGCCAGAAATATCTGCCTACCACAATAACCTTGGCTTTTGTATTGAAAGATGCCCATTAAAATGGAAACAGACAGCAGCCAAAAAAAAAAAACAAAAAAAACCTAGCAGAGAAAATTCATTTTAAGATTAAAAAAAAATCTACCATCTTAATCATTCTTTTTTTCACTATCTGTTGATTTGAGAGTGAGAGGAAAAAAAAGAAATCAACCTGCTGCTCTACCCATCCATGCTTCTTGTATGTGCCCTACTGGGGATTGAACCCACAACCTTGGTATACCAGGATGACACTCTAACTAACTGAGCTACCTGGCCAGGGATGAGTTTTAAGATTTATAATCTAATTTCCACTTACTAGCTATGTGACTCTCAGGTACAGAGATTTCCATGAGGTTTACTCAGAGTTTGCATTTAAAAAATGGGGCCAAAATAACTTCTTCTACTGATTTCACAAAGAGGCTGTAAATATGAAATGAGTTAACAGATCTCAGAACTGTTGGAAACGATACAGCACTATACAATTTACAATGGAATTTTGAAAAAGTACGTATAGGTATGTTATGGACTGAGTGTTGTATCCCCTCCCAGAACTCATAAATGTGATGGTACGGGAAGGTAGGGCCTATGGGAGGTGATGGAATGAGGGCTCTCATCAAGGAGATCCCAGAGAGCACCCTTGCCCCTTCCACCACGTGAGGACACAGTGAGGAGGCGGCTGTGTGCAAGCCAGGAAGAGAACCCTCACCAGATTCTGAACTTGGACTTCCCAGCCTCTAGAACTATGAGAAATATTTGTTGGTTAAGCCACCACAGTCTATCAGTCTATGGCATTTTTTTATGGCAGCCTGAACAGACTAAGACAAGGTATTACCAAGTGTATTTATAAGGTGGCAAAATGATTAGATTTACAACTTCTAAGGAAAATGACTGGTTCTAGGCCCAGCACTCAACAAACCCTGAATTTTGTAGGTCATGAGCTGAGGGAGTGAGGGAGAGGACTGACACCCTTGCCATCTGTTCTTCGGCAGCATGTGAGAAATGGGTCAGTGGGGGTAATTCGGATTTGTTTTTTCAAGATAAGTTTCCAGGCCACAAAAACACATCTGAAGTTCATTAGTCTCCTCACAGTGTCATAAATGAAAAGGGCCGTGCCCAGAGGGCAAAGGAGAGCTGGCCAACATTTGGCAGCCTGTGTGGAGAATTTTAGATGAGAGTAACAGCGGTGAACTCACTCTCACTAAGGGTGCAGAGGAGAAGCTGGAGAGCTGGCAGCTGAGTGAGAGGGTGGGGAGGCTGTGTGTCTCGATTTATCCACAGATCTTGGTCCCCACAGCCAATCTGGCACTGCTCAAGTCACACCACATTCATTTTCATTGAAACTCAATCACTTGGACCATTATCCTGCCAGAGTCTCATGTGAATGTTAAACATTAAAAAAATGAGACAAACTGCACGTCATCAGAGTAGCCTCAAGCTTCCACCACAGTGCTATCTGAACATGAGTGGGTGATTCTTAAGAAAGACAATTGAGTTTTTTTTTAAGTCAGTGAATAATTTTAAGAATAGAAATTATTATTTCAGATTTAGTTTATAAGGTGGAAGGAGAACTAACTTTGAGATTCTCTTTTTTACATAGGTAAATAATGGCTGAAACTTAATGTCTTTGGAGAAGACCAGAGAATCACCATAAGGCAGCTTTCTCAGTCTTTCACAAAACCCCTGATATTTTCCTACAGGCAAGAGAGCCCAGTTCTCCTAGCAGAATGAAAAGTTCCCTTTAGTGTCTGGGTCACCCCCCCCTTCCTGTGACAGTAACTCCAGTTCACTTGGGTAACAATGGAATCTCAGGGACCCACACACATCCTGTTGGCACCCCAGGGGCAAGCCTGCTCATGCCTGTGGGTGATGAGGCTCTGGTGCCCTGACCCTTACGTTCAAGGTGGCAGTAACTGGACTCTCTGATCCCATCTCACAGTACAACCATTCTGGCAGACTAAGAAAACAGGTATTTCTTTTTAAAGATGAGAGAGAGGTTGGCACTCAGTGACCACTTACATAACACACGGGATTTTAGCTTCAGCTGTTCTGTTGTAGAAGAGAAGAAGGGCTTCTCTCTGCTGTCCTTTCTGTAGAAAGAGAAGTTGAGGGTTGAAAGTCTCCCATTCTGAGGACTAAGGGCTAAGCCGACGTAGTTATCGCCACTATGAGCATTACAAATCCTAAAGCATTAACACCAATCGCCAGAGCCAGGAGACAGAGACTTACCACTCACTGCAGCGAAGTCATAGGAACTACCTGAGCTCCAGCTTTGTCATCGGAGACATGGCATAATAGCCACTCTGTCACCTGTGAGAACTGGTGTGAGAACCCAAGGGGGCAAGGAATGTGGAGGTGCTTTGGAAAGGCGTTTCAGGTGGAGCTGCACCATGATCGGCTGAAGTGCAGCCTTGCTAAGCATATATACCTATTCACTACAGCCTGGGGACAACTTACACAGGACATGTCACTGCACATGTTCTTTGCCTCCCCCTTTCTTCTGCCAAGCTGTGTCCATACCCAAATGATAAAGCTCACCTCCATCCAAGACTTGCTAAATCAATTCCAACTGACCACAACTAGTTTATTCTTGTATCATCTCAAAACCCTTATTCACATGTTTTTGGACTGTCTCCCACATAAGGTAAATGACTTCCCAGGAGAAAAAACTATGTTTTCTCTATAGTTTGCATCTAAATAAATCCTAATAAAGAATGCTAACACAGGAGATGTTCAGTTTCCTCATGATATAAGGTAACATTTACTATCACTCTAGGCTCCCAGAGACGGTAGGGCAGCTGTCTCCTTCACTAGCAAAAATGCTAATAGCCAAAAAAGCTTCTTGTTTTAAATAGTGTCTTCCCTCTAGGTCTTTTATTTTTAAATTTTTATTTATTTATTTATTTATCCTCACCTGAGGATATTTTTTCCATTACTTTCAGAGAGAGGAAGGGGGGAGGGGAGAGGGGGAGTGAGAGAGAGAGAAACACTGACGTGCGAGAGACACATCAACTGGTTGCCTCCCGCATGCGCCCCAAACAGCGCCAGGAATCAAACCTGCAACCCAGGTATATGCCTGGAGTTGAACCTAAGACTCTTAAGTGTGAGGGGCCGATGGTCTAACCACTGAACCACACTGGCCAGGGCTCAACAGTTTTATCTTTAAAAAACTCCCCCAAACTGAGTAGACAGAATACTAGTCCATAAGTGATCTCATTTCTTTTGCCAGCCACGGGCCAGGAAATTTTAAATTACCTGCATTTTTCTGTTCCTGTCTCCTGGACTTTTATTAAATTAGACCCACTGGGGTTTCCAATTTCTTTTTCTATGTTGGAAATTTGAACGGACTGTCAAGCGGCAGAAGGGTGAACTGATACTGTCACCAGGAAGTCTGCATGGACTTGTTCCATTTTCTGCTCTTGGTCTTGCTGATCAAAAAATGTCTTTAGACAAAAGATGATTAGAGCCAGCTTTTCTTAGTTGAAGAGTATCTATTATTTCAGCTGAAAATGAGAAAAGGCTTTAGTTGTACATTATATTTTATAAATTGGCTGTTTCACCTGGGCTTCTGTGACTTAATGCTTTTTAAAAAATGTCTTCCTCCAGATGGGAAGGTATGAGGGAACAAAGAAAAAATCCTTCTTGATGGGTCAGCAGTGCTTTGCTGGAGCCACCAAATTGTACAAAACTGCAGGGAAACCTAAAAGGTAACTTTAAAAGGTAACTATAAAAATGGGGTGACTTTCTATAGATCCCATAGGGCCTACTTATTTGACCAAAACCATAAAAACATGACTCCCCATTTTAACTCTTTTGGCTCAGGATTTCATAGCAGGTCAAGGTTTGGAAGGATGTCAATGCCATCAAGCCCAGCTCTCAGCTGACACTGGTTCCCCTTCCTGAGTTAAGTTAGGGCAGTGCCAAATCCGTGGCTTTAGGCTAAGAAAGGTTCTGATGTTTCAAACCGCAAAGCTCATAAACTTGTTTTCCACTTGGGTTTTCCGTTATAAAGATGAATTTACATGAAAGAACACAGAGGAGGAGCACATTTTCAAGGATTTATCTTATTATCAGAATTAATTTAGTATCTGGCTTCAGCATCACACTGAAGGTAATCTCTATCGACTCAACTTCTCTTTCAGGAACATACTTTTCATTTTCTTAGGACCCCATGGAAGCCGATAGCAACTCTCAAGATAGGACTGGGAAGAGCTCTAGGCGCTCTCTCTGCTGGATTCTTGAAGAATTATACGTCAATTTAGCCTTCATTTTCATAATCTGCAAAAGACCATTAAGGCTCTGGGATGATAAAGAAGCAGAGATGATAATAGCCCTACAGGTGCGATTCCGAGCAGGTGGCATCCTGCTGATGTATTTACCAGCACCAAGCCATGGGGCAGGCCATAGCTTCCTTTTTTAGGTAAGAAAACATCAACATATCTCAAATAATTTAAGGGATTTGCATAGCTACCAGTTATAAAACACCCAACACTGTGATTCCCATTGCTCAGCCTGAACAATTTCACAGCACTGCTGGTAAACTCAGAAAATCAAACTCTCAGGTTACATCTGAAATCGCTGGAAGAGCCACTCACCTAACTTGAGGAACGATGCAAGTTAGCAGAAAGTTTAAAAAATGTCTTCAATCCTTGCTGCACTAAGTACAGAATTCCCACACATCTTGTTTTCTTTTTGGCCACATGGCACAATTTACAGTTGCCTGTTGGCCAGTTAATGGGATTTCATCCTCAGTTCTAATGCCCACTGACTGCCTTTTCAGTTGTCTATGTTGGCTGTTCTCAGCCTGGTTCAGGAAGTAGACCGGGTACAGGCAAGGGTGTCCCTCTGGGGAAGCCACAGAATACCAACAGACATACTCCCATCACACACACCAGGAACTAAAGCATAGCATTTGATATTCAGATCTTCACATCTAAAAACATCACATGTCTGAATTTTCCCCACTAATGTTCTATTTGCTGTACTTATTAATTGGCTTTCTTATCTGGCGGAGTTCATGAGTGGATAGAAATTAGTAGACCTTAATAGTTTAGGGAAGCTATACGAAAAAACTTAAAACTGAGCAAAAAATTTCCATTAGCTGAATTTTTATCTCTAGAAAAGACCACCAAGACTGATTTTAGCAAAAGAACACTGTGGCTCCACTCATGGTTCCATTGAAGTATAATTCCTGAACCACTGGTCTGTACATTCACATCAACATTGTGGAACATTGAAAACTCCACCAGGAGATTATGCCTGCTCCTTTCCTCCAGGCCACCCAGATTATTATTCGTAATATGGCGTAAATTAAATACAGCTTGACTGTTGACCCGTGTATCCTCTACCCTACCCTCTCTGTTTCTTCAAAGTTACCAGTCAGTCTGCTCAAGCACAGGGTACAACATTAAAAAAAACAAAAAAACACACATTCTGTCTCTTGTTACTCTTAGGTATTTTCAATCTTCCAGAAGGCTGAGATCTCATTTAGATCTAAGTTTCTTTATACAGGATAATAAAGCCCAGATAATGCTTTATGATAATGTCAAAAAATGTCAATGACTGTTATTTTCTTAGCAATGAAAATTGCAAGGTTTTGTCCCAAGAGGACCGAAATGGAGCTGGTGCAGATTATCTTGTGGTATGAACATAGTAAGGCGCTAACGATAGATATGAAATGAAAAGTGTCTTGAAAAGATAAAACCACCATAGGGGTAACAGGCTTGGATACAGCCTCAGCTCCCCCACACAGAAGTCATAAGATCTCAGGCAAATCACACCCTCATGAGCCACAGCTTCCCTGTCTGTAAAATGGGGATCCTGCCAACTTCCTGCCAACCATAAATGACTATAATAAGGAGGCAAAGGATTAAGAGGGGTTGATAACTCAATTTTGTTAAATAACCGTCAATTTGTGATTCTGACTAAAGCAAATGACATGGGATGGTTAGAGTTTATATATATATAGATAGATATCAAATACACGTAGAGCTAATTTCTAACAACTGTTCCTATACTGAGGCATTCTCAGAATACACTAAGCATAAATTCCAACTTTCTCTGAGGGATTCAGAATATATATCATCATCCACAGTTGCCCTGGGGTTTATTTTTATGACCACCCATCAACAGTGATCTACATAAGCATAAAACTGCAAATTAAGAGATTTTCTAAGTAGACTAGGTAGGCTGAAAAATGACCAGGGCTCACTGTCCTTGCCCAGGGAGGCGGGAAGAGATGACTGAAAGGTAGGCTCAGAGAGCTCTGGGTAACCTCCGCAGAGCACCGCCCAAGCCCCCGCGTCCAGCCAGACTCACAGATTTGTCCTTGGTGGTCACTGCCTTGGCCGCGGCATCCAGGGACGCGCGGGCTTTGGCGCTGATCTGGCCCGGGGCCATCAGCACCATCTTGCGCTGCTTGGCTGGGAGCTGAGAAAGGACATCAGATTTGAGGCGCCGCAGCATGACCGCTTCCTCCAGCAGGAGCTTCAGCTCGCCCAGGTTGGAGGAGCCGGAATAATCCCATCCCCAGTTATGCTGTGGAGGAAGGACAGACACACACACAGCCTCTTAGACTCCCCAGGGCCAAGTAGCAGGGCTGTCACCGCAGAAAACATGAAGTGGTTTTAAAGGCTGAATAAAACCCCATATGAGAAACAGAAGGAAAGGGAAGAAGCAGGAATGAGGCGGGCAAAAATCACGAATCACGGCATTCTATCACTGGGCACTAATTTGCTTTCTAGCAGCAAATGCAAGATGTCAGGTGTTTGCCCGGCCGGGCATGGCTCAGCGGTTGAGCATCGACCTGGGATCCAGGCGATTGGGGTTCAATTCCCGGTCAGGGCACATGCCCGGGTTGCAGGCTCGATCCCCAGTCGGAGGCGTGCAGGAGGCAGCCAATCAATGACTCTCTCATCATTGATGTTTCTATCTCTCTATCCCTCTCCTTTCCTCTCTATGAAATCAATAAAGATATATTTAAAAAAAAAAAAAAAGATACTCACTTGTTAGACTTTCCTGTACACTAAATACAGAAATAACATTCCCCACGTCTTAACCTAGAGTCCACTGTACAATGTAATACCTAATGTCACCGATGTCGTTACTCGATGAGATTTATAGGGATTTAAAACCTGTTGTTCCTCAGTAAGGGTCGCACCAGCACATCTAAGAGCAATGTTGAAACCAAAACTGTGGTGGTGGTGGTGGGACTGAGGAGAGGAGCCCGGAACCCAGGTTTTTGCCCATCTGGCTGAAACCAGAGGTGGTCCTTCACATACCCAGCTCCCTCATTTGCTCACAGGAGGCAGTGAGCAAGACCGTCTAGTCCCTGCCACATGGCTAGAGAAGATGTCACCAGTTAAAATAAAAACCCTATCTTTCACTAACAATCTTCCTGGAAACAGGACTGATCTCTACAGTCTTATAAAAAAGCAGGGAGCCAAGGTGTCTGCTTCCTTAATTTTTAGCCACTCATCTCCCCTCCTGCCTCCCCCTTCCCTGGACTGTGACCTAAGGTGAACCTTGTTCATTTTTTAGGGCCAGTGGACCTAGTATAATTGTGGAGACATGGTAGGTGTCCTAGAAACCTTTGCTGAATTGAGAATACAAAGAGAAAGTCAAAGGTAGAGAAATAAAATAATCAAAAACTGTTTTGTTTTTTTAAAAAAATACTCTGAAATCAACTGGAAGTTCAGCAAATGCCTTCATGCTATGGGGTTGATAATAAGCTCAGCATGGGGCACTCTCTCCAGTGGCTTCTATTTATGCAAGCTGGCCACACACACAAAAGAGGAGCCCTGGCCTACTGGCTGCATGAAGTAAAAATCAGGCTGAGAACACAGAATATCATAATTAATCTGTATACTGTGCTCCTAAGTTCTAATATTCATCTTGCAGGTTAAAACCCAATACCAAAGATTTTAAATTGGGCTTCGGAATAATCACAATCCAACAAACTTTCACTGAAAACTTACCATGCACCAGGCACTGGGCTAGGTGGGAGAAAGAACACAAAGATGAGGAAGGCACTGTCCCTGGTTGTTTTATTGGGTGGTGTCAGGAAGGGGCAGCAAGAAGAAGGGAAACAGTGAATTTGAGGATGGCACGAGAAACTGGGGAGATGGTGGAGGGAGACTAGGAAGGGACAGTTTGGGAGTAAAGGCAATGAATTCCATCTTCAGTCCCTTCCATCACTGGCTGAACACTACCCCATGGGCCCAGAGAGTCAGGAGGAGAAGATCCAATTCAGAAAGTGGATTACTTGCAAATAGGACAAAGGTACAAATCACATTTAAGGGTTTTGAGGGACCATGAAAACTATATACAATCTGGATTGATCTATGGAGTGTATCACAAATTTTTTAAAGTGTTAAAGAAGTATATTTAGTAATAGAAATTTCCTGTCTCAATAACAAGCTAAAAATAGTTTGCAATTAACTTTGCAAAGCACTACAATTTACATTATAAATACTATGTTTGAATATAAGTGGTTATTTTTAAAGTACTTGAAAAGTTTTATTTTTTTTTTAAAAAGTATTTAAAAATAAGGCAGACAATCTTATTTACATCATGAACTTGCAAAGCTCTCCCCTCATGAATGGCATGGGCAACGAGTGAGCTGCAACCAGTTCTCCAAGGTCAGTGTCTTCGATGTAAATAGTGCTCAGTATATTTGTGACTTGATCACAAAGTGGGAATCCTTAGTGCCTCTATTAATGAGGTTTTGGAGTCCAGCCAGTCCTCTGTGGCAAGGGCAATGCCCACAAGAAAGAGGGCACAGGTAGCTCAGGGCGTGGCTCAGAGTTTACAGTCACAGCAAACGACTGGGAACAAGGAGATGTGATCTGCACTCGAGAGAGGAGTCAATGTTTGGTGTTTGAATTCGGGGCCCCATGGAGCCTCATGGGAAGAGTTTAGGCATTTGAGAAGTCTGACCTTATTATAATGATGAGGGATGAATTCATCACCTTGGCCAACATTATGAAAGTAGAAATTAGAAAGAGAAATTAGTGAATCTTTCCTCTGGTTTTCAGATTATGGATAATTTGGAGACTGGATCAGAGAGCTACTTGGGGCTCAGGAAGAAGGAGGAAGCCAGCCCCACCTACACCCCAGCTGTCAGCAAGGACACTGACTGGGACTTGTGCTTCCATCTGTCAGAGCCAAGCAAGATCCCAGCACACCAGCAAACAGATGAGCTGTATCCCACTGGTGGGTCTGAGACTGTGAAGGCACTAAAGCCAAGGAGGAGGAGAGGTCCTAGACTATGTCTCTTCCCAAAGAGAAAGCAGCCCAATCACACAAAAAAACAGTTTAACTGCTTACGGGGGGGGGGAGGTGAACTCCCACACAAACAAGGAGCTGACTCACTGGGCCATCCTTTCTCAGGTTATGTTTGGGGAAGAACACTGGAAATGTACACAGGCTTTGGCGAACCTGGCTATGGCTGCTTGACATTGAGGGGCTCCCAGCTCAGGCCAAGAAACATGCTGGGTGCACCGAGAACACACTGCTGACCTGGAAGGAAGACATGACCACAGACAAGGACAGAGAGGACATCCTGGAAGCTCTGGTTATGCTCTACCACACCATGAGGTGGCCTGGCTCCTGCAGAACCACAGCAGGGAGGCCTCGTTCAACCTGCTGAAGGCAGAGAGAAGTATAAAGGAGCTGAAAGAATTATGTGAGGGAGGCATTTATGTATTAACAGTCTCAGAGAAAGACCTCACAACTGCGTGGGGCAGACCTCCTTGGCCATCCACTGGCCAAACCGAGCTCCAGCATACTTTGAAGAGGCAATTGGCAACATTATTACTGCCAAGGGTGCTAGGATGTCAAATCTGATAAGTCCATACGAGAAAACTGCAGCTGCGATAGAACCACAGCCAGGCCCCCCACTACATGCAGCACCCCCATTCTCTCCGTGTTTCTCTGTTCACTTAAGTCAGCCCTCAAACTGCAGACATGTTACCAGCCAAGGTGTGTGCCATGTCTAAAGAGTCCCAGCACAGGGAATCTCTGGCAAAATTCACCTGTGCAAAGATGGAGATCACACACGCCATGCATAGGAACCGTAATCTGTGGGCTGATGAGAAGATCCAGTGATAAAAAGGAAAAACTGGCCCTTCTCCCTCCTGTCAACCTCCTTGACCCTTTTCCTCTGGCTTACAAGAGAGAATGTTTGTAGTAGCTAGATTTTTTATGACCTATATTCAAAAGTGAGGTGCTGAGGGACCAAGAGGAAAGCACAGCGACAAATTCATCTTTCCACAGTCGCCCTTTGTCTGGCAGGCCATCCTTTTGAAGCAGGAGGCTTTGGAAGAGACAGAGGAACCTGTGAGAACAGTGTCCCATGCTCAGCTGGGCTTAATCAGATCAATGGACATGAATGGACTCAATGGCTCAACAGGAGGAATGTGGGATCTGTGAATACTGTAATTTAAACATTTTTAAAATGTTGATTTTCTCTGCTTATAAAAAGAATCATTTTGGTGTATATTACCTTCTAGTCACATGTGAGAGAGGGAGAGGGGAGAGGGAGAGGGAGAGA